ATCGTTAACTTAAAACCAATTTTTATCGTCTTCTAACTTTTTTCATCAATATGAAAAGCCGTTTTAAGATTACTTTCAATTTATAAACTATCACCTTGGGATATCGTGAGTGTTGACTAAAACTTATAAGCACTTGTTAAAAATTAATTGTTAATAATAAATCGCAATAAGAATTTCTTAGTAATCTGTTGTATATAAATAAATTATTTGAATTTGGAATAAATGATCAAAATTCATGGTAAAAAATATATCAGTTTAGGCTATTTAGCCGCAGGGCTACAGATTAATAAAAAAAAGCGATGATATATATTTCGTTTTATTTTTTTCATTCAAACGTCTGAAATGTAGTTCTGTGTTTATATTACTGTTTTTTAATTCGACGTCCCAATTTTTTTAAAATTCAAAATATTATAACCGGGTATTGAAAACCGTTTAAAAATAAAGGAATCAAACTAAAAATATTGAAGTGAGATATGTGACGACTATACCACTAACTTATTTAGATGCATTAAATGACAAAAATTTACAGTTAATTAAAATACGGTTATGATTTTTGAGATCAGCTGATGTTAATATTTAAAACAGTACTGATTCTGATTAATGAAATAATAAATTAAATGTAAAAATAATTACGAGAAAAACAAGCTTTAAATTGAATGAGTTTAAAGGAAATATTTTTTTAACTCTAAGCTTCTATATTTCCTTATAATGTCTTTACTTAATTAATACGATTTAAAAACTTACAGTTATGAAGCATAAATAAGTAAATTTAATGTGTTTGATTTCAACAAGAAAAAAAAATTAAACTAAGTTAATATAAATACAAGCTACAACCTTTTATGTTATATATTTTGTAAAGACGTTACGGACACAGTAATGTTTTTAAGTAAAAATGATTTTATTGTTATAATCCATGTGATGTAAAGCTTAGTTTTAGAAAGGTTTTTTATTCCAATTTATTTGCGTTATTCTTAGCAAGGCATTTTATTTGACAGCTGTATTGTAGAAAAGGAATAAAAATAGCTAGATCACCATCTTGGATATGAAGTCATATTGTATTTAGAACGATGTCACAAATTTAACTTTGCTTTGTCATCCATATTGAACTAGTATATATAATTCGAACTAATTCTAAGTCAATAAGTACAGTCGGCTGTAAGTAATCAGTTAAAGATATCTCCTTCAAAATCAAGGTGTAATATCTCACACGAACATAATACATTTACAAACATTGCAAGTTTAATAAAAACTTGTAAAAATAATCGTATTTATTTCTTCTATAAACGGTGAGAAACGAATTTGAGTCAATTTCCGCATTTGATATTTCAACCAGTTTGCACTGGCTGAGATTTAAAGTGCAAGTCTCAGGTAAAAGAAGTCTATGTTTGTAAGAATAAATATTCCTCTTTTTAAAATTTATCAAGGACTACCTATATCAAAGAATTGCCTGACTGTGATAAAGAGTATTGGCCGTTTATAGATCATATTTTATATGTACAAGTTCTGAATTAGAACCCGCTTTTAATTCAAATCCTCTTCTTAACAAAATATGCTTCACATAGTTACAATTCTTGACTAGAATAGATTAGTAAAGACGACTTCGGGGCTATGTAATTAGATACTGTTGCTGTAGCTTCCTTCTAATGGGGGTTCTGTAATAGCAAAGTATTTTCTTTGTAGATTTTTTCTGGCAGCTACGAGTTATTTATTATTTCACCCTTTAAGCTAAAGTCAGCAAACTTTGACTTAGTGAGACCGGCTACGGGGGCAATTCATTTTATATTTCTCATTTGTTCGGACTGATAGAACATATTTGACGTGATTAAGTTAAAACCTAAATGTGATTATTGTTTTTATATTATATAAGTACCTTTAACATTAATTCAAACTCTTACTTGATATACTTGATATATCCAAATACCTTATTCTAAAATTTGATGCAAATGCATTTATATAATAGGAAAACTACGCATATTCAAGAACTTACATGTCGTAACTTTTAATTTAAGTGTACATATTCTACAGTGTTTACGGTTTCTTTTCAACAATAAATTGGAAAGGTATGTTTTGTTATCATTATAGGTTGCAACAGTTTATAAGCTTGAGTAAAATAAGACTAATCTTAATAATTATAATAAGCCGTCAAAAATATTTAAGTCATTTATTTTATTAATTCTTTATAATTAACTTTTATCACCAAATATTAATTCCGTAAAAATTCACTTTCTTTTTAGTTAAGTGGGGCTAACGTCGTTTATCGTAAATTACCCTTAAATGTTTCTAATGAAAGAACTGTTCTGGGGAACCGTAGAATCAAATCTATTTCCCGGATGTTATAGGTCCCTTGAACAAAATAAAAGTCATTTACAACACAAAATACTTCGAAAAGTTCTTATGTAAATAAGTGAAAGGAAAGGTGTCTTACTCATAATTTGCAATACAATGGCCGAATGTTTAGAGATGATTTTTCCTTTCTCGCATAGTAAGCACGGCTTTGGTACTATAAAAATATATTATTCAATCGCTTATTTTACCGGCTTTCCACTCAAATCCTAGACGCGAGGTAAAATGTATGAGGGATCGATGGATAGATGGGGTGGGCATTAGAATGTAGGCTGGTAAAACGCCAATTGATGGTACAATTCAATTTATTCCACATTATACTAAAAATACAATTTTCTGGGAGATTTTAATTTATGATTAGGTTGAATAAGTTACCCATTTTATACGTTAGCTCACGTTTAGCTATAGTATATTACTTTTATATTCAACATTATTATTATATTACCTAAAACCTTTATTTTTAAATTATTTAGGCTGACTCATAGCTATATAAAAAAAAGATTAATAAATAGCATAAAAGATACTTAAAATTAATATGGCAATTTAAGTCACAATTATCGCAATAAAGACACCACAATTCCTGTCATTGCCAAGAACAGGTAAGTTGTTTATCAAGAAAACATTTATAGGACTTTCAACTGTAGCTTAGTCTAATAAAGACCATCTTAAGAATGGTGAAATACAAAATCCAATAAGCGTCAAATACACGCTTCAGGAAATCAATCTTGAAAGAACGATGGTAAACGTTTTCCATTATTTAGATGGCATTGTAGTCGGCGAGGGAACCGATTGAGGGCAGGAATCGCAGATCGCGGGAAAACATTTCGATGTATCTAAACCTGATTACTAAATGACGCTTGCCCTTTGCTTTAGAATAAAAAATTTAAGTACATTTATGATACTCTCGAATTCATTTAGTTAAAATTAGAATCCATTCCAAGAAAACACAAACCATCAGTGTCGAATATTATATAGCTTTCAAAATATACACGTTTTAATTAAAATAGCTGCTTGGTTCCGTAGAACCTTCCGTACTTAAAGAACGGAATTAGTTCGGTGTTAAAGTTCCGTTGAAAATAAAGCACAATGTTATAATTTGTTTCATGTTTTCATGTTTTCAATGGAGATCCGTTGGCTCTACATTTAAAATTTCTTCGCCAAACGAAATAGGGTATGTTTATGAATTTTCAAGAAAAAAAATTCATTAATTTATACAAAAGTTCCTGTTTTTATTTATAAAATTTAGATTCTAAGTAAATGGGTCACGTAATATACAAAATCTTCTTACGAGTATGTATGATTTAAGAGATATTTCATTTCATAAATGGGTATTACAATTATATGAAAATAATGTTTTACAAAATGTATATGAGCTTTTCTCCACTGAATTGGGAAAATTCACATTTAGCTAATTTAATAATTAAAAACTGGCTTCAATACTAACCATTTGGGAAATTATTCAATAGTCAATGATATAGTTATGATTTAAAAAAAATACCAAAATTAATTTCAAGTAATCCATTAAAAAAATATATTAACGTTACATGCAACGAAGCTTTAAAAATGTCGATCGATTCGCAAAAAGTTCTGAAGCTAAATCTCAAAGGAACTTTTTAATCAACGTTAATGAAAAATATGTTTTCATCAGCGAACTTCACTATATTACATTTGCTCGTCATTGGAGTTTATTTCGTCTGTAACGTTAATGAATAAAATTAATTTAAAGTTATTTAGTCTAATGTACCTTCATAATGTTTATTTCGTTTTATAAATATTTACAGATATAGCTTTCTTATGAGAAGTAGATTCTATAATAATGAAAGTATATTCTATATGAAGTAGTACCAAAATGTATAGAGTTAAATTATTAAATATTTCATAGCCTCGTTGGCATTTCAAACGATTGTCATGATTACATTTCGTCGGAATCGTAATCAAAGTTGAAAATAATTTCTACTGCGTCACCCCTCTTAATAAAATGCTTTGCATTCAAATTTCAGTCTATAGAAGTATGTTTCCATTTACTTTGACTAATTATAAATTAGTTCATAATTTTAGTAGCAATAATGACATGATATGTGTTCAGGCCACGAAAACTTTAATAAATAAAAGAAACATTAAAATAAAAAAATAAAAGAAACATTAAACAAAAGTTTGCTAGAACGAAAACAAGATCTAGAAAAAATATTTGATTGTATATATATTTATATATACAATTCAACCTATGTGTATGTATGCATCTTCTTCTTCTACCTGGCAATTTTTCCCAGCTATAGCCAGGGTCTGCCTAACATGTTGTGAATGGTTTTGGCTATTTGTTTTTACGACCGGCCGCCTGCCTGACATCAACCCTCTTTTTGAGAATCAACATTAATCAGTGATGTCTAATATATATATATATATATATATATATATATATATATATATATGTGTGTGTGTGTGTGTGTGTCTATACACAAAGGTTGAATTTATTTATAATTAATATATGACTATAAGTTTTATTTATAGTGAAATACAATCGAAGTCGTGGAAAAAGTAGGAGGACAAAATTAAGCAGTTGCTACCAATCATTATAATTATATATTTTTGATTCTAATAAAACTTCTGTAATGTTAAGTTACATAATTTGATATATTAAATTACTTTTTGTTTTACAGGCGGGCGATCCTATCAAACCCCGATGTCATCGGACATACAACAATACGAGCATTGTTTGAGAATGATTTCTGGGGGACACCTCTCACGGACTCTGGCTCACATGGGTCTTATAGACCCCTTTGTGTTGCAACATACCGCCTCAATTACGCCTTCAGCGGGTTTAAACCATGGAGTTATCACTTTCTTAACATCGTACTTCACTCCATAGCAACAGCTCTAGTAGTGACCACCGCAAAACGATTAATGCCACAGCATTGTATAAGAGTTGGTACTGCGGTCGCGGGTCTAAGCTTTGCTGCCCACCCCATACATACAGAAGCTGTGGCCAGTGTTGTCGGAAGGGCTGATTTAGTCGCGTGTAATTTTTTTCTCCTAAGCTTCCTGCTATATATTGAACACGTACGTCTAAGACTTGAAAGACAGAAAAAGCAATGTCGGCATGTCATCAAAAATAATATTATACGCTATCAACTAATGTCGAACGACCAAAATTTTCGACTTAGTTGTCATGGACTGGTTCAACATATTATGATGAATGTACGAAGACTCTTGAAAGTAGGGAGAGCAGGCCCTTTAAAAATGTTGAATGCTTGTGAAGTAGGTAACGGAACAGTGAAACTTAATAAGTGTCAGTGCGACAATAGTGTAAGTGACGATTCAGGTGAACTATTGCAGTGGTGCACATTAGCTGGGACATTTCTATTTGCTACTGCTGCCACTCTATGTAAAGAACCGGCTATTATGGTAGTACCACTCTGCATATTTTACGACTTCTTAAAAGACACTCGACAGGGAGAGCCTTACTCAAAGGTGAGATATATTTTTATTAGTTTAAATTTATTATTTATTTACCTTATTAATTCATAGTGTCAAAACTTTTTTTTCTTCATTTACATTATGTTTTTACTAATAAGGGGAAACTTTGAAAAGCCAGAACTTATGAGATGTATTGAAACCCTGGCATACTTTACATAATTATAACTTAAAATCAAATTCTAACAATGATATTAATTTAAATACTATTTATTTCTTACGCAAATTGAGATGTTTATTCAATAATAATAAAAAGTAAAGGCCTTATGAGTTCTATAGTATCATACGTCATAATAACAACTTGGAAAAATGTATAATACTAAGTCTATTGCATTTATAGATTAAATTTAAAAGTAATTAATTATAACTTTCAATTCTAAATGACAGCTACACAATATAAAACGGACCCATTTTAAGTCCTTGCCCCGTTTGTTCAGATGAAATAAAATTTTCGAGCTATTACTGGTGACACTTTTGTCTTTCGTCTCTTGTATACTGCTATAATACTTTATTAATTATTATAAAGTCTAATCAGTTAAATTACAGTATTCAAAACAATGGAGATAGTTTTTCTGAAATTTATAAATTGAAATATTAATGTATAAATTTAAATTGTTAAATTATATTTAAGAATGATTATATAAATTTATTATCAAAAGTGATAATGATGTCTTTTTGCTAGAAAGTATTAAAAGATTTTTTTATTTGTGCTTCTAATGATATTTATATATGAGGAACAAAACAAAGGTTACGTAATGATGTTATTATGAAATTAATTTATACGACATCCCACCCCGAATTATACTCATATTTTTTGTCACCAAAATGTTGCTAAAACAAAAAGTAATTAGTAACAGCGACCACGTTGACATAACAAATGCAAGTAAAAACAAGTATAATAAAAGAAACATTAAACAAAACGCAGGCAAGGGGCCTGTTTTATACGTCTGGCTAATTAAATCTAATTTTCGGACGCGGGTAACCATGACAGAGATATTGTGGGCCTAACTGGCAGTTGGCAGCATTGAAATGGCCTTTCGGGTGGAAAAACTGTTTTTTTTTGGCAAAATAATTCGAAGGTTTCCATTGTTTGTGTTTATTATAGTTTATACATATTCGTTTTAAAATTTTATTTTAACAAATACATTTTAGAGAAGAAAGATTTATTTATAGCATGTAAAAAGTTATTGCAGCTTTAGTAGTTTGGGTATCGATCTTCTGGGTTCGACATAATAAATTTTATCTATGTTAGAGTAGAATAGAACACAGGATATTGTAATATATTTTATATTATAATAGTTTCTTTATTTTCTTATGAAAAAAGATTAAGAGGTAATTGACTCCTTTATTTAATAACTCCTTTATTTTGTTTTCAATTAAGAGATTATAAGATTATATCTTAGTGTTATAGTAACATGAATGTTGAATGTCTATTTGGCGAAAAAAACAGATACAGATTTCAAAAGGAATATAATTACACTGTAACTCTTCATATTACCCTTGTAAGTAGCTGTTTTTGTGTATCTCTAAGAAATACAAAAAGTTCCACAATGATAGCAATATATACCTAAGAAGTACAGGATTTTACTCCCTTAATATAAACAAGTCTTTTTAATGATATTTTAACAGATAAAAAACCCAAAACTTATTTATTTCGAACAAATATCACAATTTTTTAAATACTACTTTACCTTAGACTTTTACTTATTTGAATCAGTGTTTTAAAAAACCATAACATTTGAGTCTTACGACGGAATGTAATTCTGAGCGCTTTAAACGAGATAGCGTTTCTTATGGCTCGATAAATCGCCTATTTATTGAGTGGAGAAATAACTTACGATGGAAGAGATTTTCTTATGAGGAGATGGTATTACGATATAGATGCTTGATTTCATTCGATTCTAAATAAGTATGTGAGATAAAATGTTAGAATTGATTCTTTAAGGGTATAAATATAATATCTATAATAAAGGATGTTTTGGAAAAACTCCATGAATTTAATAACAGATCGAGAATAAAAATTCATCCGATGTATTTTTAGGTAAATAAACTAAGACCTTATTAAAAAGGCAGCAGATTCATAATGAATTTGAAATTATATTGAAACGTTTCTTTGAAATTTATGAATAATTCATAAATCAAAACTCTATGTTATTAATGGTGAAAGTAAACAATCATAAAGTATTTATGTAATTGAACAAACTCTTTAATTATTTTCTAAATTAAATTCAGTCTTAATTAATAATGAAGGATAAGCTGAAATAGTAATTTCTAAACGAGGTCGTGCAATCAGTTCTTGAGAAAGAACTTGACGTCTCTCAGATCGAATGAAGCTTGAATAGAAGTTTACTTCCTACAAGATGATAGGCTTGTGTAGCATTTTATAATAGCAAATAAGAATGAACCAAAACTAAAATAATTTTCTATCGTTATTTTGTTATGATACAAGTTATATGTTTTATGAAAGAAATCTGCGATTTTATTATATTATTGTGTCTGTAATGTTTTTATTATCAACGTAGCTTACAAGTTTGACCTTTGCAACTTGAAATTATTTCTCATGTAACATTTTATTGCTATTGTCGCCGCAAGTTTATGCGATCTCATGCAATAAAGTGATAAAACAGTTAGCTCCGCCGTAACCAAACAGCCTTAGATATATTGAAGCAAACGAATGAACTTTACAATATTTCCTTTTTTTTCTATGAAATGTTAATAAAATCTTATATATTTTTATTTAAATCTTTCCTTGGCCTAATAAAATTTATCACGTCAAGCCTAAATTAAATGGTGTAAATTCTTAAAAGTCCCTAATTTCCATGATATCGTTTCCAACCAAAATAAATGTACGCTTAGCTAAATGAATATCGATTTACCGTCGCTTTACCCTCGGCTCATTTACCCTGCATAAAATTAGTATCAGGACCTTTTCGCGGATGGCAGCCGATATTTCTCCTATCTTGAGGACCGAAGCAATTTTGTATAGCTTTGAACATTAAATTAACATTGGACTTTTTCTGCTCTCACTTGCCCTTGCCTCGTTCGAGTATATTTCAGTGGTCGCGTAATTTGTGGCCCGTAAATGTTCAGAAATTGGTCATCCCTTTGGTTGAGGTGAATTTATGGCCTTTTCGGCCGGCCTGTCGAAAGCGGAATTAATAAGACCCCCTCTAATGGTGAAACGTACCCTTACCATCAATTTGAATGTCCCAAGATCATTGCGGACCAACTCAAAGGCATCTTGATTCAGAATATCTCGCTTATAGAATTTTTTCATTTTCCTTTAAACGATAAATTGATCCGCCGTATATTGCTTCTTTTTATCAACGTTAAATGGGACATCTTGAAGTAAATTGATTTCTTAAATTTGAATGAAATTTGCGGGCGTTCACCATAATAATCAGTAACAAATATGTGAGATCGGTTTCTACGGTTCAATCAACGTCTTCCAATTTATGAAATTATTATTCCTATTAAGTGAAATATGAATATTTCGTATTTTTTTAAATTTTATATACACATTCTGGTCTAATTTCTCATGATTGGAGCACAATTTTACTTTAACATAAGCATAAATGATTATTTTTAATTGTACCCGAAAAATTTATAGTTTTTTCAAAAGAAATTTTTTTTATTTATTTTATTAATGTTAAATGTTAATGTTAAATTTGAAATGTTAATATTAAAAGCAAAATAATACTTTTTATTTAATATTATTATAGTTTTTCCGCAATCAAAATTATAATCAAACTCGTATGTAACAACAACAACACACTGAAAATAAATACATCCAATTTCATTTGTTACACTGCAGATTTCAATTCAGAGCACCACACTATTTTACAGCAAGGAGACAAACAAATCTGGTTGTAAATAATAGTGCTTGAACGCCTCCCTGTCTCTAGGAAAGAATAATGGTATTTTCTATTTCGTTAGGCTGGTCTATGTATACTTACGTCCGCTCGGACAGTTGCCAGCTGCTTCGTTTCGAAGTCGCGTCCGGCCGAGATCTAAAGTTAAGTGTGGCTGGAAACGTCCACAATTTATGTCCCCTTCACGTCTTGTCACGTTTCGAGGGCACTTTGAGTACAGGAAAGAAGTGCTTAGTGTCCTCGACGAAAAATAAACATTTACATACTTTATTTGATAGCGTTCGATCCATGAATCCTATTGAGAGCTGAAGTTTATAAATAATTCTACTCTATATATAAAGCAAGTTTCGAAATAAATTGAAAGCTATTTAAAATATTTTCATTAATTTTATAGATTTCTATCTTAATACAAACTATGAGGAAATGGTTACTCCTAATAGTTTCTCTTCCAGTTTTGTTATGTAAAGATGTCTTAAATCAGAAACCCTGGAACTCTCCTCCTTCCATATTTTCGCGCCCCACAATGTCATTTAATGGCTATAGACGTAATTTATAGACTTTCTGAACATATCTTCATCTTTATGTTTCTATCAGTTAATTTGAATATTAACCATGAAGTAATGCGATATTCATTAAATATATATTTTTTTAAATTATATAATCTTAAACTAGGTATATGTGTATAAATATATAAGAGAATAATATTATATATATTTCGTGTGTTATAAAGTTTTTCTGTTTAAAAAGTACAACTACGTAATATTTTAAATTAAACTATTTTGCTTTTGTTTTTTTAATTTCCTTTTTGTATCGTTTAAATAGAAAAAATAAAAGCACGTCTTCTGACAATCTGCTTCATATTTCTGATACTTATCAAATAGAACTAAATTATGTAAAAGATTTTGGTAGACCAAGCATACCATTATTTGATAATGTGTTGGCTAAAAATAGTGAGGAAGGAAATAAGTAATCCAGAATCAATAACAAAACAAGATAGATGTCGGTTTTCTATAACAACTAGCGTTTATTTAAAAGATTCTCGTATTCCTTTTCTATTCAGTATTTCTATAACATCATCAAAGACCAAGCGGATGCTATTAGCTCTGGTGAAACGTCAACAATTTT